TTTGAAAAACACAGAACTATATATATGAAACAAAAGTGAGGTAGGCCTACTTAAACAAAGTGTTTGAAAGACTAGGTAACAGTTGACTAGGGTCAAACAATGCCCCGAACATCTAGTAAGAACTAGATAACAATTTTACCATTACAATTGTGTTCTGCAATACAGATAAAACCCACTTAAGTTCCTTTCCTGTGTCTTCTACGACATTTTTGAAAAAGTCTATTAATCATATTTGTAGACAATAAATACCCCCGACGTAGCAAACCTGCAGACTAAGCGAATTCCCATTTAGCTGGCTCGATTTCTACACAAATATTCACTGAAAATTACCAGATTTATTTCCTAATTGAATTAGGCCTACATTAACTTTAATGAGTACCTAGGTTTGCTACTACAGGGAAGGTATCGAGGTTTTTATTGAAACGTTGATAACACAAAATAAACAAAATTGGCAAATTTGATTAAAATTTATCTATAAACAAACAAACTACAACAGTTTTATTTATTCTCCATAAGAATAACAAGGGAATTTTAAAATTAAAGTTTTTTAAATTATCTCCGTTACTGTTAGGCATACAACAACGCTTCAATATATAAAAAATTATTTCTTTTTTTAAGCTCTACGAAATAGTCTGGAAAAAATGTGAAATTTTATGTTTTCAGAGTCAAACTAGGAAAAACCAATTTTACCCCATGAAACCCATGTTTCCATAGTACGATCATGCTGGTTCGCGAACTCGTTTGATTAAACGGAGGTTGACACGTTTCTACCAAATTTAATCAAAATCGGATCATTTTTGCTTGAGTTATCGCGCTAACAGACACATATATAAATACGTCATATTTATATATGAATTTGAAGGGCGGGCGCTTTTGGCCTCAGGGGACCTCAAAACGAAAAAGTAAATCGGTCCCAGGTCCAGGTCTTACCATGTGTACTACGGTTTAGCTTATTCCCTATATGGGAAATTCGCTAAAAAAGCGTTGGGTATTTGTAATATTTCAAGCAAAACAAAATGTAAGTAGCAGGAGAGTTATCGACAGAAAAACATCAATGAATTTTTAATATTTGATCCATTAAATAAATACTAGCATTATAGTTCATAAAATACACAACCACATTACAAACTTTTTATAGAAATGGCATTGCTTAACCCATTTAACAGTGCTTTTATTTTACTTGGCTTGTACTTTGGTCTTCCTGAAGATGTTTTTTTAACACGACTAACGCACTCCATAACCAAACTTCTAATTCAAGAAAAAAGACAACAAAAAAGACAATTATGAATGAATTTGAAAAGGACCACTTTGTTTTGAAGAACATCATCACAAAATACTAAAAGTTCAATCAATAAATATTAAGTAAAATACATATAAGCTTATTGGGAACAATAAAATTTAAAAAATAGATATTGCACAGAATTGGTTTGTTTATGAACATAATATTTTCAGTTAACAGTCTGCAATATTAAAAGTAAATACCACTAGGTGAGGAGTAAATATGTACTGTCCACTTCCTCTTCTGTTTGCTATATCTTCTTGTCGTACAACCTCTTCAGTCACTTACACTTAACCCAGATTTTAATGTCACCAATAACTATCAAAACAGACTTTAACACTACAAATTATATCACTAATGGTGTTAGCTGTAATCGTTTAACAATTTTGAAACTAACAAACAACTTTATTCACCTTAGTATAAGTTGTAATTTGTGACAAATAAAAATAAGTAATTTTTACAAAAACTATCCTGAACATAGGCCTACACTGTTATGAAGTTTATAGCCTATAAGCAATGTATACCTACCTACATAAGCTATTTTTCCTAAAATTCTACTTTAAGAAGTAGGCCTTAAGGCCTTACTGTATAGGGGATAGGCATATGAAGAAATTAGCACTTAACTTTAGAACATCATACAACTCCTTGCCAACAAAAGGTTTAACGTGAAAGAGAGATTATCTTAGCTGAAAAGATGTTAAACTCACAATAAGGCCAGTTCTATACATCTAGCAATATGTTATCAAGACTTACAGGAACCTATGCATGATTTATCCATGTACTCTATAAGATATAGCTTCGTGCTATGGTTTTTATTGAAGCTCTTCTCACAAAGCTTAGAAAAAGCTGAGAATGGGGTCCTAGGGCCAAATTTGATTGAGGGCCTGGTCAAAATATGTTAAGCCTACATATTTCCTGTGGATAAAAGTTAATTACGGTATATTCATGATGATGAATTCTTCATAAAAAACAAAAAGATAAATTATTTCATGATTCCCATGATAGAAATAGGCTATATTGATGAAAATTAAAGGATGTCAATTAAGTTTCCTGTGGTTGACTAACCTCCTATACCCACCCTAGTTTCTTAATAATCCTTCCTGATATCCTTTTTCAAACCGGGAGCAAGCTGGTCTAGTGGTAGATAGGGGACTTAGGTTCCCAAGGCCCTGGGTTCAAATCCTGTAAATTATGAATGGATTTTTCCTTAACCCTTTAACATCGTAGAATTTGAGGGTGGGACATAAAAATACCCCTGCCGCAGCATACCTGCAGACTAAGCGAAATTCTACCTGGCTGGATTTCCACTAAAATATTCTTTTAAAACTGTCAAGATGTATTTCCTAATATTTAAAATACATTAATTTTAAGAAGTAGGAGGAGGCTGCTACAGGGAAGGTAATAAGGTGTGTTTTTTATTGAGATAAAGATAGCTTAAAGTATGAAGTAAGAAATAAACAAATTTGGCAAATTCGATCAAAATGTATACCTACATAAACAAAGCAAACTACAACAGTATATTGATTCTCCATAAGAATAACATGGGATTTTTAAGTTAGCAGTTTTTTTTTTTATTTCCTCTGTAACCGTCAGGTATGTAAAACACTTCAGTTTAATACATTATTTTTTTCCAAGCTCTAGAAAAAAGTGTTGAAATTGTGTTTTGAGAGTAAAAAATGGTAAAACCCGTTTTTTATCCCATATAACAACCTCATTCCCTTAGTCCGGTCTTGCTGGTTCGTGAACTTCTTAGAATTAATGTAGATTTACACAATTTTACCAAATTTCATCAGAATCCGATCATTACTTTGTTATTGTGCTAACGGACACACCAAAAAGTATTATTTTGAACGAATGGTGTTTTTGGCTCCTGGAGACATCACAACAAATAAGTAGATCGATCCCAGGTCTAGGTCTTACCATAAGACCTACCGGTACGGTAATTAATTATTTCATGTATGTAAAATTTGCTAAAAAACATTTTCAAACCAATTCCCTTTTGTTTTGATTAGGCCTATACCAATCAAACTTATCTTTTTTTTTTTAAAAAGCCTAGTTTGATTAATATAATTAGGCCTAGCCTAATTATAATATAATAAGTATATAATTAATTAACTTAACTATAGTTAATGTTGATTAGGTGAAATACATTTTCTTGCAGAAACATGCATGTAAGACTAACCTTTAAAGACGGAAGAAGACAGTAAATTGTTGTAATTGTGGAAGTAAAAATAGGATAGGATGGTCTAACTGCTTACTCAGTCATGCCATAAAATAATATGCAAAAAGATTTACACGCAAACCTACGTTGCTTTGGTTGGTAGTAAGATAGGCCTATAGATAAAGATGGCTATTTTTCTCAAGGCATTTTCCTGTCATTTAACATTCCTTGCATCTAGATACTCAAAAGGAGAATAACTCATGGTAGGCCTAATGTAAAAGAGTAACGCGACTGTATAGTAAGTAGCTGCATGCTTAAAAGTGGGTACATGTTGTGTATCCGACAGCTACATAGATAGTAATCTTGAGGCATTTCCTGCAAGATGGAAAATGTGATATTGTAAGATAACTCGAATACTTATCTTGTAATATTGGGAGAAATATGATGCACCAAAGGGAACGAAAGATAAAAAACTCACTAAGAAAACTTTAATCAATGGCATCTATTGAGAAAATTTACAAAAAGATTGGTTGCAAAGATGTAAAGTAAATACCACTAGCAATATTGCTAAATCGACAACTCAACAATTAACCTGAACACAATAGTCTTATGAGTAAACCATGTTTTAACTCCCTTAATTCCGTTTCTAGGTTTATCTCAGTATAGATTGTGTAAAAGCAATTATAAGTTACCGGTAGTGTAATTTTTTTTTTTTACTGGTTTTGAAGCGTAGATCCCTAATATGATCTTAAACAATCAAACTATAAACGATAACGGCTAATGGGTGTGTCAGGAGCCTAGTTGTTAGCGTCTTGGATTTTAATAAGAGAGGGAAGAAATCAAACTCAACGAGTCCATAAAAATCTGAAGGGTTTGGGCCGCTTTCTTCCAAAAACTTATGACTAGTCTATGTCATCAAAACTGCTACTAGCAAAGATACTAAATAGGCCTCACAATAATAACTCCAGATTCTTCTAGTCTGTATATGGGTAGGACAATTATTAATAGCCTAGAAAAAAATTACAAATTATAACCTAGCATATTTATAGTTGTACCTAAAAAAAATCTGCTTACTGAAACATCCGGAGTACCTTAGGCATAAGAAAATCATTTAGGCTTGTTAGGCATAGGTTTCAATCGGAAACTAACTTCATTCAATGGAAGAAAAGAACTGAGGTACTGTAGCTTAATATAGTCTGATTGAACCTAGATTGTTTCAAATCTGACAGTGTAGGACTGTTTTGAGTAGACCTAGCCCTACAAAAACGTCAAAGATATTTGAAATATGAAGCTTCCCAGGAGGTAAGATTCTAGTCCCGGGAAAGAAGTATGTAAACAAACAGATTTCAGAATTCAGTTTGGTCAGAATGGGCGTTTTTCATTAATTGTATGCTTGCCTACATTTATTGATTATTTCCTACATGGAACCGCTTTTTACATGGTTGACAGTGACTTAAGAGAACGAAATAGTATTATGTTATGTTAAATACCATAAGTGTAGTATTGTGAAAGCCTATTACCTTTCACTCTCAGATTGATGTAAGTTACAAGGGTACTCACCATTCTTTGGTAAATTTCTTATGACATTCACAGCCTTCTCGAACTTTTCTTGGATTGACATAGCTCAGAAGCTCACAGATTAATTCACGATAAACATAAGTAAACTAGATTTATTTTTATTGTTTCTCTATTTTACCAAACACTAGTAGACATAGACAAATCCAAAGAATCACATCAACGAATCTGCGTAGAGGAGACTGACTGACTGACGACACTGAGACTGACAGGTACGAGTTACAGCTGACTTTGTTAATTGTTTATTTGTTATCTAGTTAAAAGAGGGGGAAGAACATTACAATGCAAAGAGGATACAAGGTGTATTCTCTCGAAGCTGTACTGTAGAAAGTACATTCATACACTCAACTGATTAACAGTGTATTATCATAGATAAAACATACTCCCTTAGTAGATTTCTCATCCTTATGGAACAGCTGAAGACAATTTTATTGTTAGTTCTGTACGGTTTTCTGTAGAGGTCGTGTTTTGTTTACAATTTGTTTCCCGTTATTACAGCCATTTAAAACCACGTTTAACCAAATAATACGATATAATCATAAACAATAACCTGTCCCCTAGTTATATAACCAAACAGTAAAGCACAAATCAAGAAATTAACCCTAAAATAATAGAAACAAAGTTTCGTCGACACTAGCGCCCATGTGTCACGTACATGAACTAGACACGAAAGACGGGCTTCAAAATTTACAATGGGATGAGAAGTCTACTTGTGTTGGTTAGTCTATGGTATTATCATTGATTATACATCTCCCCTTGGGTAATGTATAGTCAATGGTATTATTTACTGCAACTAAAGTTATTTCTTGATGGTGTGGCCTCTGGATCGTCTGAATTAACGTATAGTAGTTTAAATTACCTCGTTCTGTCCAAAACGATCCTATGTAGTTCGTAGAGACTACAGCCACGGCCGCCTTTAACTACAGGCCGCGGCCTGGGGCCCATTTCATAATAAAGTACAAACTAATATTATTAGTAAATCAGCTGATCGCCCAATGCAAATCTAATGGAAATTACAAGTTACAAGTTGTAACTTGTAACTTGTAGTTTATTATATAATGGGCCCCTGGTAGAATTGGCAACATCGCAAGTGGTGTTGTTCAGTGACAGACGTCCCATAAGATAACATGGCAGACAGGTGACATCAGCTCATTAATTCGCACTTTATTGATTTAATTTTTAATTTATGAACATAAATTTATTAAAATATTGAAAATAAAACATACAGAATTGAAAATTGAAACAATATAAATTAAAATCTATATCTGTACATTTTTAAGCGGAGTCAATATTGCCATAGTCCAGTCATCAATCTTTCGTATATACACAAATACCATTAGTTGCTTCCAAAAAAAATCAGCTGTTACAACACCACTTGCGGCGTTGCCAGTTCGAAGGCCGCAGCCTGGAGTTAAAGGCGGCCGTGCTACAGCTGTTTCGTGCTGCAGGAGCACATCTTCAGGCCAGGAGAATGTCAAGAACTAAGCAGTCATTAGATATTCCTCATGTCAAATGTTCGCTCCTGCAGCACGAAACAGCTGTAGTCACTACGAACTACATAGGATAGTTTTGGACAGAACAAGGTAATTAAAACCACTATACGTTAAAATTATTTGGTGGCTTTGGCTAATAATAGAACTAGACAGTAGACATTCCATACCCATGTCTAAATTGGCTTAGTTGAAATGAGCCACCAACGGTGTGCGCTGATGCGAATTAAAAATTGTATTTATTGTAATTTTATTTATTTCTACGACAAACAGCCACTATTCAATATTTGCATCAAATCAAGACGGTTTACACAAGTATGAATAACAAGTATAGTAATACATAGGCCCAATATGACATTTACAAAAAGACTTATAATGATGTGATTTCAAATTCTCTGTCAAATACAACACATTTTTTAACAAGCCAAATCGATAGTACGATTTATTGTAGGCTATAGCATATTCCTTCCACAGTGCTCTACCTCGCCTTCATCGTCTGGGAAACAGCTTGCCTATAGTTACATCACATCGACCTCATTCAGCTCTCTGAGAATCGTCTCAAGAGAGCGCTTACCAACTTCTACTCTTCAGAGGATCATGTGCATGTTTAATTTATTTTCCAGTTGTGACCAGGCGGTCAGAACTAACCAGTTTGAGGAGAACTTCCCCGTTTTGGGTATGATAATACTGATCAACTTGACTATGGTTCTCATTTCCAGGAGATTGGCCTTGGTCATGATCTCACCTAAGGCATCAGCAAAAGATCAGGATATCGTGGTACTAGGCATTCTTAGCCTAGGTTTTTTTGCACCAGAAGTTATTTTCGACGTAGGTACCTACCTGGCTGATGGATCATGGGAAGCTATCTTTTGCTGCCTTAGCTTTGCTAGAACCAGCCTTTCTGTCAGGTTTTGGGGCCAAAAGGTTTAGTTCACAAGCTCACGCTCATGAATTAACTAGTGCCTCTTCATGCCATTCATCTCGAGGACTCAATACAGTCCTTTGCCGCTGGGAAGCTGGCTTTTATTGACCTATTATTGGCCTATTATTGATTTATTATTGTATTTGGTTTGACGTTGGTCTGGACCCTCAAGGTTCCCTTATATGATCTTGATGAGGCCCATATTTTCTTGGTCAGGAGGTTGGATTCCTCACCATCAATATAGTTTAACTGCTGAAGAAGAAGCTGCAGTTCAGAGATGAACCTAAGGCAGCTCTTCTTTGACGGTATTCCCTCCGTAATGATTCAAAGGAGTTTTTGGCAGCAGCATTTCAAACTCCATCTTACCATGTTCTGAACTGGCTCCTTCCCTACCTGTCAAAGAAGTTCCTGGGGGGAAACTATCTCCTTCGTGCACTTGCAGTGTACCAGCAGTGAAAACATTCTCAAGTTATAGTTTGCTGGTTACGAACGATCTTTGGACCTTGGAGATACCCTAAAGGGTTCTGCTCCTGCTCCTACCTCGCTTCTTGCTCATCTGAGCTCTTCAAAAATGAGTTAGGGGTTATTAAAAGCCATGTCTTTGTGTTATCCAGCACATTTTGTGGCAAGGGGCGGCTTGAAAAAGGCAGGAATGGGTATTCCCTTTAGGGCAAAACCCATACCCCCGTTCCTTGTCCAATGTTTGCCCAGTACCGGATACCTGAAGTCTTGGGTTGCCAAAAGCAATGAAGAGCCTGACCTCTACATCTTATTTTGGTCTAACTATTTTTTCTTATGATTGATCTCGTATTTAGTTGAGTTTACAATTTAAACTTAATAATTTTGAGTGCAGGCTTGTTAGTATATTATTTTCTTTATTTGTGTCAGTAAATATCTGTGAGGGGAAATTTCCATGAAATATTGGTGAGTTTTGCATGGAAAGTATCATTACTTTTCAATTTCCTCCCATTACCTCGGTGACTTAAAATGTCTCACTAATAAAGCAGTGTTATTCACGACTTAGACTACATAGTCCCACATAAGTGGACCTCAAGGAATGCTCTTGATACCTTCTGTGATTTCCTTCTATGCACTATAGTGTGACAGTTCCACTTGTCTTGTCTTTGTCATTTTGGTAAAATCTGTACTAGTTGATTGCTTTTTCATTTGTTCTTAATTTTCAAATCTGTCTAGAGTAAAACTACTAACCTTTATAAGCTGCTATATCTTTGGTCTAAAATTTGCTAAAATTTGGTCTAAATTGACCCTCTAAAGATATAAGATGAACTACCGTACCAGTTTACGTGCATGAGGTAAAACAAAACTAGGTCTATGTGTAATTATATAGTGCAGGTTTACTGGATCAGATCATATAAAAAAACATGGAGAATATGCGTTTTTACAAAAGAAAGACATTTTATTATGAATTATTTGTAGCAATATAATGTTACTAATTTAAATGCTGTAAATTGTATAAACTGCCTGAGAAAAGCCAGTAGCTTTACAATGGTTTAAACAAACACCCAGCTGTTTTTTTTATAGGATGAATAGTTTTTGAGAAATCGGGGAAAAACTGGTTTTTGGACGCCATTTTCCAAGATGGCAGCCTTAGCACAAGTTTTTTAGAGGACTTTTAGTATGTTATTCAGGAAGTAGAATTCAATATACGTACCAAGTTTTACACTTATAAGAGTTTTTTTAGGTAATTTCTCAAAATATGACTAGACCAAGTACATGTCGTGAGAAAAGAAAGGTTCCTCATCAAAGTTAATCCTGGAGAGAAAACCAGGAGGCAAAAGACTCTTGGAATAGCCAAGCTGATATGGTTGGACCAAGTGGAAGAGGAGACTGGGAAGAAACAAATTAAGAGGCTAGAGGTAAAGATGAATGGAGGCATCGTGTTGGGGTACCACACAAATCCTCTAAGTAAGTACCACTTAGGGCGCCAGTGGTCATAGCAGTTAGTTTTCAAATTGTAAAAAAAAAACTATGCAAAAAACAATAAATTGGCAGCACAAATTTAGGTACAAAAATGTGTAAAATCAACATCTTTGTAGCTAAATTTTACACTTCCCTGGCCCCCTCTTCATTGGGGTTATTCCGTACCCCCAGCCACCCCTATAAATAGAGTAGACGAAGGTCTATAGGTTAAAATATATGGAGTAATGTATCCCTGTCTCTATGCATTGATACTAATTATATACTCGTTACTACAACTTAGCAAAAGTGACGCGCACAGCACTCATTTTAAGAATTGCATTTTCAAGCAAACCGCAACCGCATCTATTATCAGGGTTAATTTTTAAAGAGCTTGTCCAGCGTAGAATTGTGGATACCAAATTTTGAAAAAGATTATAACTATTCATAGCTCTAATTCTTATAAACTTCTACCACGAATACTAGAAAAATACCGGTATGGATCATAAACATAAACAAATGACGTTTTTGGCCCGAAAAAAAAAACATTATTTAACATTGCTTAAATGGAACTGCCAAATCACATGTTCAATGCTATTAGTATAGAATTCGGTCCAACAACGTCATTTGTTTATGTTTATGATCCATACCGGTATTTTTCTAGTATTCGTGCCGTCTACTCAAATTACAGCTGCACAAACTTTGCCAGTGTGATGAATAAATTTAACCAAAACTAAATTGAAATGTAATACAACCCATACAATTTATTGGGGATTGTACACTTGAAGGAAGCTGACACATATTAACTTGCTAACCGATGTCATTTGTCAGGTGTAGCGATCTGCAGGCGCCATGATGTGCCAGGGCTGCAGTAG